TCCACTCTCTGTAGAAATCAATGGAAAAAATATCGTTGGGTGAAGACTTGTCTAAAATGCCAGTATATTTAAAATATAAAGTCATAGTTGGGAGTATTAGCTTAGAGGAAATATAAACACAGTCCCTTATCTGAATTCCTTAGGCTACAGTGTTCTGAAATTTAGAGTATTGGGTGTTTTTTTTTAAGGAATAGTAGACATGTATTTGATCTGAAACTTTTTTTCATCCTTTCACTTTATGGTTAAACAGAAACATGGAAACAGAAATGGTGGCTTCTACAAACACACACATAAAACATAACACAAATAAACGGGACAGGCTGTTTCTTTAGACAGTCTTTTCATTTCCTAGAATTAGTATGATATTAGCATACAAAGTGGCATTTGAAATTCCTAGTCCTAAAGTAATATGGTAATATTCACAAGCCAGTTTCAAATATAATACATCTGTCTTCTACGTGGTTAGGGAATTAGGTGAACCTACTGAGAGTTAGTCAGTTATGTTAGTTTGAAACACTGTCTTACTAATTACAAACCAATATAAACACTACATGGATAAATGTATGAATAATTATCCTAGAAATGTAAACTGAAGATGATCTTTTTAGCTTAAGTATAATCATAGAAAGAAACATTTAAGAAAAACTTAACATATAACTGGAAGTTTTCTATTTTATTCAGGGAAAAAAACGCAAAACAGGCATATGTGATTTAAGAATATAACTTAATTAACTTACACTCCAGAAGCATATTTACTTAACTCTCTCTAGACTTCAGGAAGCTGCTACTTCCATTCTCTTTCACTATACTCTGTTAATATTTAAGTACATGACAGTAAAAAAAAAAAAAATCTTAGTGTTGTGAATAATTATTTGAGAAATGCTTTGGAATTATGTGTGTAAAGTCTTTACCTCATTTCTTCTTAGTGGATCAATGAGACAATATTAGTGTCACTTGTACAAGAGATTGAGTCTGTCAGCACACAGATGAGACGCATGGGTTGTCCAGAGCTGCAAATAGGAGGTATGTGAAAGCAGAGCCCAGCATTTGATTTACCTTCAATGAATCTGCCAGGTGAAAAATCTCTTCTGTAGTGGGCTATTTAACAACTTCCTGTGTTATCTTGAGGTGAAGAAAAAAAACTAAATGTCATAGTTTTTTTTAAATATTAAGTTTTATTGAAATATTTACTTACCATACAGTTCATCCATTTAAAGTCTACAATTCAAAGGTTTGGGTTGTACAACCCCATCACCATAATCTTAAGGCTGTTTCATCACTTCAAAAAGAAACCTCACATACCCTTTAGCAGTCACCTCTGCCTTCCCACCACCACCCATTCCCTAGCCGTAGACAGCTACCAGTCTTTCTGTCTGTAGATAGGCCTCTTCTGGGTATTTCGTGTAAATGGGATCGTGCAATATGTTGTCCTTTGTGACTGGCTTCTTAATGTAATAATGTTTTCAGGTTTCATCCATGTTGTGACGTGTCAGAACCAGTATAATGTGCTTTTTTAAAAAGAACAACATTGCTTTATGACTACAAAAGCAATATGCAATGTTAAAGTAGAAAATTCGAGAAGTACAGAAATACACAAAAAATATTACCAATAATTCTGCTTCCAGAGATAACCTATCACTATCAGTTTACTCCCAGCCAGTTATTTTTAAAGAAAACTATGATATTAACTATATCAATTGTAAGTTATCTCATAATTTAAGAACATGAAAAGTGTATATTTTGGAGTTAAAGAAATATGGTATATATATATGTATACATCTCTAATTAAATTGAAGTCATACTATTTTTGTTATCTGTTCCCCCCCCCTTCTATTTTATTAAGTATTCTCCAGTATTATTTTTATGGCTGCACTATATTTCTCATGTATGTGTGTATATATATATATATATATATATATATATCTTTCATTATTTGTGTATTAGTTGTTTATAGATCTTCCAAATGGATCTGGTTGCTTCTTTTGGGGAGAGGGAAGGAGGAAGGGAGGAAGGAGGGGGGAGAGAGAGAGAGATAATCTGGCCACCTTGTTAGAAATAATAAATTGTAAGTAGAGTATATAATGCAAATTGTTAAGATAAACTATTATTGCTGTCATTTATTCCTTCAACATTTATTTAAGGAAGAGCATTTTAAGTTTTTTTAGCCTTAGCCACTTTGGCTCAGTGTTTAGAGCATCAGCCCCTGGACTGAAGGGTCTCAGGTTCATTTCCAGTCAAGGACACAAACCTAAGTTGGGGTGCGTGCAGGAGGCAACCAACTGATGTGTCTCTCTCACATTGATGTTTCTCTCTCTCTCACCCCTTCTGCTCTCTCTGAAAAGCAATGGAAAAAATATCCTCAGGTGAAGATTGAAAAAAAGTTTTTTAGAGATCCCAATGAATAATAATGTGTTTTGTGTGTTTTATTTTTAACAGAGGCTAATATTACCAGCTTGAAACAAGCTGCTCTGGTCAAAGCTCCTCTCATTCCAACTCTGAATACAATCGTGCAGTATCTAGACCTTACCCCAAATCAGGAATACTTGTTTGAAAGGATTAAAGGTAACTATTGATTTGAAGGAAAAAACAAGAACTTTTACACTACTTTGAGATTTTATAAATAAAGGTAACGTGGAAAAAGTTTTAAGTATCACTAAGTATGATCTTATATTTTATAAAAATTATCTAATTATGGCTTAATTAAAGCTTATATTTGAACAACTTTTGGGTTTTATGTTTTATATACTTAAGAATTGTCAAAATAATATACTTAGCTTTGAATATGTTAGTTAATAATCTTGTTCTATATAGAGAAACTTAGAAATGAGCTAAATGGGCTCAAATGAATATTTCACTCATTTTCTATTCCTAAACTACCAAGAAAGGGTGCTACTCTGACATTCTTTATAATGTCAGCAAGTTGATTCTTCTTTTTTTTTTATTTTTATGTCATTTATTGTTCCTTTTTTGTATTTCTGTTATCTTCTGATCATTTGGGGAAATGTGATCTGAGGAGGCTGACTGGAAGAGAATCAGGAAATTTAGCTTCTCTAACACTCCCACACACTTTCTTTTTGCCTCTCTATTTTTATTTGGGTAAAGTGCTCATCACTAAGGCAAGTTTTAGAAATAATATTTCACTCTTCAGATTTATGGTAAACCTTAATTTGAAAATATTATAGTGTTACCCTTCTTTCCCCTAGGTTTGACTGAGGCTCAGGAATAAGCATTTATCATGACTTTTAAGAATCTTTTTATGTAAGGAGAATTCACATATACATAAAACTAGACAAAATAGTACACTCAGCTCTCTTGTACCTAGCACCCAGTCCCAACAGCCGTCAGTCCCTGGGCAACCTCTGCCCTCTCCATATCCCATCTCCCTCCTTTCTTCCTGGGATGTTTGAAGCAAATCCTATATATCATCATCACTTTATCTGTAAATATCTCCATAAGTACCTCTAAAAGATGAGGCCTTGAAAAAACATAACCATAATATAATTATCACACCTAATAATTTATTATGAAATATGCAGTCTATGTACAAATTTCCAACCATCTCCTAAAATGTGTAATTACTTTTTTTGGTACTGTTTATTTGAATTGGGATTCTAATATTATCACATGTTGTGATTGGTTGCTGTGTTTAAGTTTCTTTTAAGCTATAGATTTCCCATCTGTCATTTTTTTCTTTGCAACTTATTTGTTGAAAGATCTGGATTGTTTGTCCTATAGTGTTTCCCATGGTGTGGATTTTGCTGAATGCATACCCATGGTGTACTTTTATGTGACCCTCTTTTCTCTGTACTTCCTGAAAATTCAGGTTGCAATTTTTTGGCAAGATTGCCTCATAGGTAGGTTTGTATATCCAATAAAAGTATGTGTGTGTGCATATATATATGCAGATTATACGTAAAGTATTAATATATATCAAATTTACAAAAAAGTACGGCGAACCCTGAAATGGGCCTTGTAGATTGAATAGTTATCAATATTGTCCATATTTGATTCTCTCTATATATACATATTATATATTCACACACACTTTTTTGTTCATTTGGAAGTATATTGTATAGGCATTATTACTTTTCAGCACGCAGATTCCTAAAAATTCTCTTACATTACCACAATACAGTTATTAGACCTTAAAAGTTAAAAATATTTCTATAATATTACCTAATATACAGTTCATATTCAAATTTCCCAGTCGTCCAAAGAATGTTATATACCCTTTCTTTCTTAACCAGGAATAAAGTGTAGGTTTACTCATTTTGTGTATTGTTTCTTTTTTTTTTTTGGTCTCTATCTCTAACATCTGCCACCTTTTGCCCACATGACATTGACTTTTTTAAGAATCCAAAATATTAGTCTTATCTCACATTTTGGATTTATATGATTCATTCTTCTGGTGATATTTAAGTTAATCTTTTTATATTTTGTATTTCTTTATGTTATGGGTCTTTTGATCCAATTTTTAAGATGACATGCTTCTCTTATTGTAACCCCTTAGCCTTTTTTCCTCATTTTTGCATATTCTTAGCTTTTTAAATATCACCTTTGTTGCTGCAGAACTTTCTCAAGGAGGCTGTATGAGCTCATTTCGATGGAATAGAGGTGGAGACTTCAAAGGACGCAAGTGGGATACAGACCTGCCCACTGATTCTGCTGTAAGTCTGTTTTATTTTTATTTTGTGTTGTTTTTTTATTTTGGAGAGAGGGGGAAGGGGGGGGGAATCATCCATTTTTTGTTCTACTTATTTATACATTTGTTGGTTGCTTCTTGTATGTGCCCTGACAGGATCAAACCTGCAACCTTAGTGGATCAGGACGATGCTCTAACCAACTAAGCTACTCTGCCAGGGCCTTTTTTCATCTTTGTTACTGGGTTTATGTGTTTTTATTTCCCCATTATCAAAATAAGTATTTAAAAGAATTTAGAAACTAAGAAATAAAAAATTAAAATTGTACCAGCATCTTGACCCAACAAGTATTACTATTTTGGTGTATTTTTTTTCCCTTTACTTAGATTGGGCTATTTTTTAATTTTTTTAATCATAGTTGTAATCATGTATGTAAAATTATAGAACCTTGCTTTTTTTCGTTTTTGCAATATTTAAGTAGTTTTTTCATTATTACACACTGTCATTTAACCATTCTCTTGTATTGGACCTAAAAGTTTGAGAAACGTGAGAAGAGAAGGGATTTTTGTTTTCCTATCTTAAATAATGTTGCAAGGAATGTCATGATGCATATTTCCTTCTTATTTGGAATTACTACTTTAAGAAAGATTCCTAGAATTAGATTTATAAGATCAGTGAGTATAAAGATTTAGGGCATTTAAGAGTTTTTCAGCCCATCCGGGCGTGGCTCAGCAGTTGAGCATCGACCTAGGATCCAGGAGATCGGGGTTCGATTCCTGGTCAGGGCACATGCCTAGGTTGTGTGCTGCAGCCGATCAATAACTCTCTCATCATTGATGTTTCTGTCTCTCTCCCTCTCCCTTCCTCTCTCTGAAATCAATAAAGATTTTTTTTTTTTTTAAAGAGTTTTTCAAAATCATGTTCTTTTTTTTATAGTGACTTATGTGTGAAAATGAAGTTTTGAATTCTGATATTCAAATTGAGAATTAAATAGATGTGTATTTTATCTTGGTTTTGCTGTTCATTAGCTATGTGGGTGTGAATGATCCACTTAATAGAAAACTAGGAATGTCTTTTTTCATTTTATAGATTTCATCTTATAACCACTTGAAAGCATTTTTGCTAATTCTCTCTTTAGGGAAAAATTTTTAAATTAGAGTCATAAACACAGATTTTTTTAAAGGACTACATCCATGATAGATTTTCATGCTGACTTTGAAAAATTGTCTCCTAATTTTTAGATCATCATGCATGTGTTTTGCACCTACCTTGATTCCAGATTACCTCCACATCCTAAATACCCTGATGGAAAAACATTTACTTCTCAGCACTTTGTACAGACACCAAATAAACCAGGTATAAGCCTCTCCTAAAAGAATGCGTTGAGCTTTTTGCATGAAATACATCTAGTGATTTTGTTTGTTTTTTTCATGTAGCATATTTCCTTTTCAGATGTGACAAATGAGAATGTTTTTTGCATTTATCAGAGTGCTATCAACCCTCCCCATTATGAGCTAATCTACCAGCGTCACGTCTACAATCTTCCAAAGGTACTTCTAAATGTAGAAGCTGCTATTATAGAATGTCATGGATGACTTGCTTTGATAATATTTTAAAAATTAGAGTCTCTTGTTTATGAAATAGGTAAACTTTTTAAATTCAGGAAAATGTGTTTCTTGCAAGCACCCATTTTTAACTATAAAAGTATTATATACTTAATTGGGGAAAGTATAAAGAAAAAGAAAAATCTTATAACTTAGAGGCAGTTGTTAACATTTTGGTGTATTGCTTTTGGTAAATTTCATTTTGCTCTTTCTCTGTAATTTTTTATGGGTTGAAATCATTTATGTAGTTTTATATCCTCTTAAAAATTAACTTTTATAACATAATTTCCATGCCATTAAAAATCTTCATAAAAATACTTTTTAATGGCTATAAAAAACTTCATCATAAGATTGTAACACAATTTATTCAACCATTCCCCGACATTTTGGATGTTTCTAATTCTTCATTATCATAAATATTGCTGAATATACATCTTTATGCATATAGCTCTTTGCATTTTGGGTAATTTCTTTAGCCCAGAGTCCAAAAGTAAAATTCTAGGTTAGAGAATATTTTCAAGGCTTTAAAAATATATATCAAACTACTTTGTAAAAAAAGGTTATTGTACCACTTTATACTTCTATCCAGGGTTTTAGTCTTGGTTTTAAACATGGTACACTTTACAGATTTGCCAATCACTCTTGCGCAGGGTCAGTGCTAATCTCTGTATCATTCCAATCCTAGTATATGTGCTTCTGAAGTCAGCACTATCCAGGTATTTTACTCTTTTTTTTCTTTTCTTTTTCTTTCTTTCTTTTTTTTCCTGTTAATCCTCATCCAAGAATATTTTTTCCATTGATTTCTTAGAGTGGAAGGGAGAGGGGGAGAGAAAGAGCGAGACATCGATGTGAGAGAGACACACTGATTGGTTGCCTCCCACACTCACCCTCACTGGGGCTGGAATCCCTCCTGCAACTGAGGCATGTGCCCTAGACTTGAACCCACGGCCCTTCAGTCAGCAGGCTGATGCTCTAACCACTGAGCCAAACCAGCTAGGACCAGATATTTTACTCTTGTTTAAACATCAGTTCTTTTGATGACCTTTGCAATTATTTTTGCTGGTAATCATCTTTATTAAGGAATTTTACATTAACTATAATTATAAAATGTGTTCTCTACCAGATTCCCAAGAAAGAATATTAATTTCATTTTTTCAAGTTTAATATTTCAACTTTGTAAAAAAGTATAAGTGTTTTGGAACATAGAAGTTCTTTTGAATACCCATGCAATTCCTTTTTTTTAAGAAACTGTTTTGCCCTTGCCGGTGTCCTCAGTGGTTAGAGCGTTGGCCCGCCCACTGAAGGGTAGCAGGTTCGATTGCCTGTCAAGGGCACATATCTGGGTTGCAGGTTGCAGGCCTGATCCCTGGCCCCGTTGGGGCGTGTGTGGGAGGCAACCAATAGATGTCTCTCCGCCCCCCTCTAAAAATCAATAGAAAAAATATCCTCAAAGGAGGATTAACAAAACAAACCAGAAAGAAACACAGTGTTTTTAAAAGTATATATACTCAGATTTTTGAGTAAAAGCACTGAATCAGAGTAAATAGGTACAAGTTAATCAGTGAATTGAAAACCTAAGTTAGAAGCTAGTTTACAGACCAGAAATTACATATAATCATTTTATTTTAGAGATAGCAAAATGCTGCCTTGTAGTCACTTGTAGATAAAATAAATGTATGTTTACCTGTTACTTATATTAACATATAATTGAAGTGTGATTAAAAGTTTTTAATTCCCACACTTTTGTTTATGCTGTTAACTTGGGGGATAGAATATTTTGTGTGTGTAGTGTACAGGGGCACCAGCCTTGCAAGAGCCCTCTTCCAAGAGAGCTCCTTCCACATGTAGACACTTCGCAGTCTGTTTCCTTTCCCCTCCTCTTTCAGGTCTCAACTTAAAAATCTCTCCCTCGGGGCCTTAGCCGTGGTTAGAGCGTCGGCTGAGAACTGAAGGGTCCCAGGTTCAATTCTGGCCAAGGGCACGCACCTGGGTTGCAGGCTCGATCCCCGGCCCCGCTCAGGGCACGTGTGGGAGGCAACCAGTCCATGTGTCTCTCTCCAATCAATGTTTCGTCCTCTCCCTACCCCCTCCCTACCCCCTCTCCCT